TCGCTCTCTCCCCCTCACTCACTCACTCACTCACTCACTCTCACTCATTCACTCACTCACTCACTCACTCACTCTCATTCATTCACTCACTCACTCACTCACTCACTCTCATTCATTCACTCACTCACTCACTCACTCACTCACTCACTCTCATTCATTCACTCACTCACTCACTCTCATTCATTCACTCACTCACTCACTCTCTCACTCACTCACTCTCATTCATTGACTGGAGGCCATGGTGGTGAGGCCCGTGTTCCAGGCCAGGTGCCAACAAGACAGATGAGCGCCACTCCCACGGCGCCGAGGGACGGTACAGCGGGAATAAAGCCCTGGTTACGGCACTTGCCCATGTCTGTGCTGTAACAGCCGCCGTGGCCATTCCCCAGCCCTGCCCCTGCCTGTGGGGCCGCAGACACAATCAGCCATCTGGCAGGTGCGGCCGGGGGCAGCAGGGAGGGGAGGAGCGAGGAGGGCCCCGCCTGCCTGCAGTCCCTGCTCTGGCCACACTCCCCTGGGGACCCCGGCACCGCACCTCCTCCAGCCAGGACAGAGTTTGCCCCTGGAGCCCAGAAGGGGCGTGGCCACGCGGCTCTCCTGGCCCAGCAGCAGCTGCTGCTCTGGGGGAAGCAGAGGACAGTCCGGGTCCAGGGAAGAGCTGAGGGTTTGGGAGAGGACAGGACCTCGCAGCTTCCTTCCGGACGCCCTCACGACCCGGGCTGAGCAGCGGGGTGCACTGACCCACTTCACAGTTGGAGAGACTGAGGTGCAGGGCGGTGAGGTCGCTAGTCCAGGCTCCCGCGGTGGCACCGGCGGGCTGGGAGCTGCCGGCCCTGACTACCTCCACGGAGCTCGCCCTGCGCAGGGATCTGCTGCTCTCACAGGTCAGCGCCCATGTCAGTGTCGAGGGCTCCGCTCCCAGAGAAAGAGCAGGAGGAGATGCGATGCCCGGGGTCCCCAGGGGAGAGTGGCCAGAGCAGGGACTGCAGGCAGTGGGGCCCTTCCCTCTCCTCCCCTCCCTGCTGCCCCCTGGCTGCACCTGCAAGATGGCTGATTGTGTCTGCTGCCCCCACAGCCAGGGGCAGGGGTCTCTGTTCACCCGAGTCCCCAGCTTGGAGCCCCACCCCACGGAGGGGGAGCCCCTGGAGGCCCTGGCAGACCTCAGCGAGCCTGGGGTGGGTCTGGGTGAGCAGGAGACACTCAGCCTCAGGGGCCAGAACAAATCGCCCTGGAACTGACTTCCCCCCCGGAGCGGAGCGCCCGGCTTCCGGTTCCCTCCCTCCGCAGAAGCAGCGCGTTGAAGGTGCTGTCGCAGCCGCACGCGCGGGGCTGGCCCTGCA